TGACACCTCTGACTTTTAAATGATTATTTCAGGCTTTACAGGGCGACTCGCAGCAGCGCACACTCACCACATTTTAGCCTGTTTATATTCTCCTCGCTCAGTAATGATACTTCTTTCAGTTTTCATAAAAAACTTACAAAATCTTACATAGTGCAGCTTTAAAGGAATAGTTCTTGTACATTTAGTTGCAAGTTAAGGGCTGTTTGTTCAAATGAAGTGGCAACATTAAAGCGATTTGTGGTCCGCTTTAAGCATTAGCAGTAAACAGGAAGTTAAGGGCTACACCACTGAAAATGGAGTGGCTGCAAACTGCTAAAAAATAAGACAATTCTAGCACAAAAATATATATTTACTCTATTAAATATGACAATAAGCCAGACACAAACTGAGCAAACATTTCAGACTCCTGCTATCACCAGTGCTGGCCTCTGAAACATCCTTTAACCTGTAAGCCTTTAGGTTTACGTATACAGCATGTTGTAATTAATATTAACTCACCTGCTGATGTCAGATTAATAGTAAGTGCAAGAAAAAGGAGAGATTTCATGATTCGGTTCCTGCGCTGTGAATCGTCACGCAAAGAAAGAGATAGCAGAACTGTCCGGCTCTTCACCCCGCAAATAGCACAAGGTGAGATCTTCAGCCGCGCAATGAGAAACACTTCCTTTTACCCACGAGCATAACTTTGTTTACGCAACGCTGGGGACAGGACCAAGTGAAAGAATCGATAGCACTTTACTTTGTATTTTGGCAGTAAGTGGGTAATAATAGTCTAATATTGTGTTAACAAGTCATAATTACCTAAAAATATTGTTGCTAATAAATAATAAGTTAAAAGTTCATAGTATTATTGCAGTTATAATTTCAATGCAGTTTAACCACACTGTTCTGAGGAACTGATGTGATCACCTAATGTGAGATGCAGTAATGGAAAGAATGGTTTCAGAGCATTTAGTTTCACTATAATTACAGGCGGTCACTGAATGTGTACATCACCCTGTGCCTGACCATTTATAAACATAACCGATAAGAAACACTGTAGAAACAAGTGAATTAGTATTTTATAGCACTAATAACACATCATTTGATACTTCATTATTTTTGGGATAATAACTAATATAATCCAAACCTACAATGATTTAAAAAATATGTATATGTTGATTAAGCAGCTGTTATCCTGTAAGAGCTTGATGCTATATATTGTAGCTTGTGTAGTAGACGACCCTTTTTTCTTGTTGTGTGGTATGTTATTAATCAGGATGGAAGCAGGCATAAACTGGGCCAGCTGGGGGTCCTAGGAGCAGGCATATATACAGACACTTAGGGGTCCTGGGAGCAGTTTCGTCAGAGAACTTGTAGAGAGAAGAATTACCAGAGCCGGTTTATGAGGAGCCTGACCTCTTCCTATTCCTCCCATTATATCAAAAACAGGACTACAAAACAGCAGAGGGCGCCCGTGAGCGAGTCCTCAATTAATGGGAGTAAATGGCTCAACGGCTAAAAACAAAAAGTTAAAATAGTTTCTAATCACTGAACCAGAACCTTCCTTTAATTTTAGAAAGCTGAAGGATGTGTTTCACTAAAAAATCAAAGAAAATTCACCTTTAGCTACAGCAAATGGGTTTTGGGCAGCAGGACACTATTGCTACTGAGTGCTGATTGGTTGGCGAGCGGAGCAGCTCATTGGCTGTTCATGCTTAGCAAAATAAGTAGATTACATAAGAAATATTTATTTTTCAAATCAGTTTGGTAATTTGTAAACCCAAAGAAACATTTTCAAAGTAAAATTATAATTCACTGTAAATAAAATCCAAGATAAAGCTACAAATATTTTTCCATAGTAGTCGAGTTTGATCACAAAGCCAAAATAGATGAAAAAGAGTTTCTGGGTATAGGCCACAAAAGGTACATCTTATATGCAAGGATACCTTAAATCTTGACACTAAAAGGAATTTTACTAGATAAATTTGGTAAATATGCCTGTAAGAAACCTCCTTGATTTTATTTATCAATAAATACTGATTTATTTATCAATAAATTCTTCTTCCAACAGATTGCAATTACGTGTGGAACCGAAACATTGTCATTCTGGAATAAAGCATGAATCTTCCAATTGGTTTTTGTTTCTGTTGGTCAGAACAGGCTTCGAGAGAGGACAAGGAAACACCATCTGGACCCGGTGCTTTCCTGGCCTTCTGTCTCTGGAAGAGCCCTCACATATACATCACTTCACAGGTTTGTTTTTGTTTAAACCAGTAAGACACGTTTATATTAAAAACTTTGGATTCATTCTGTGTTTTGATTTCTGAAGGTAATACCTGCCATAACCAAACACCTTTAACTGTAAAAGCTGACTGACCAAAGGCTGCTCTGTGCACCGGCATTCTACAGTTGCCAATTACTGCACCCCTCATTGTCGCTCCATTGTCTGCCCGCTTTGTAATAAACTGACCAAATATTTCTGGGGCAAGATTGTTTATGTGCTTAAAAATAAGTGTTAAACATGTCAAATTTAATTTCACAGTGATGCCCCCTCATTGGTTTCTGATCTATTACTTTCAAAGCCTGTTTATGTAAGGAGATTGTAGGTTTAACTGCTGACTGAAAAGCTTAAGACATATATGATAAAATCATGGCGTGCACAAACATCTGTACAGCCTTGAGAGGAGTGCAAGGTCTAGTGCATTGAAAACAGTTTAGTTTTAATAGTCTTGGTCAGTTTCTTTATGTGGGCATCATATTATAATTGGTCATCCAGTGTAACTCCTAAATATTTAAGCTCATTAACTTCCTCGATTTCCTCTTGATCAACATATAAAAAATTCTTTGTGTCCTTTTTGTCTGATTGTGAAGCAAGTCAAATCTGTTTGGTATGATTTAAAGAAGTTCAGCTCCTTAAGTTTATTTATACGTATTTTCTGATTCACTTTTTAAGATCTAAAAGTACACTTGTAAATACTTGTATCTAATGAGCTTTTAATAATTTTAATAAAAAAGCATGTAACCTTTCCAAATTGCTTTTGATGCAGGATTTGATTATATTGAAGATACTGCATCAGTAGTTCAACATATAAACTTTCAAGTTCTACTGGAAGAATTGATGTTGATCTGTAGTGACAAGTTTGATCAGATGCCCCAGCCTTAAAACTTGTGGTCAGTATTGATCAATAATCTTGTAAATTTTACTTAAATCCACCTGTGTAATGTAAAACAATGCTGATGAATACTTCACTGAATCTTGTGGTGGTGCTACGGGTTGAACATTTGCTGCAAGTTCTTCTACTGATTGAATGAAAACGATGTTAAATTAGTTAGTAGTTTCTACAGTGTCAGTTTCATTTATATCTAATGCTGGTATTGATTTCTGCTTATAAAGCCAATTTATATGCTTCCACAGTTCCTCACTGAACTGTGATCTGATTTGAGGTCCAGGCAGACAAAGACTTAAGAAACAGAAATACTTCATCCTTTACTATAAACCCAATGCAGTATCTCTAACTTGAATGATCAGAGTGGAAGAACTGATTCATGACTTTATTTACAGACTTTATTTAAAGAATTTATGTTGAAATAACAGAATTTCACATTTTAATATGACTTTTTTATGAAGAAATATTACTTTTTTTAAAAATGTGAGACTGACCACAAAAGTGCAAATAAAAAATACTGATATTAAAAGAAAAGCTTGAACTTGCTGAAATGCTGAATCTTCTTCATCTTCATTGTCCTCCTCTGTACGTCCTCTCTGTAAAGACAAATGTAATAACAATACTGGGATTATGAAATTCTTGCTGCCACCAATCAATGTGTAATGAAAATATACAAGTGATCTTATATATGAACAAACAATGCACAGACAAAGTGTAAATGTTACAGTCAAGTCTGTATTTGCAGTACTTCGTGGGTTAAATCAGTGACCCTCCCCTCAAGTGGTTTCATAGAGTGGGCAGAGATTGGTCTGTTTAATCCTGCACAGCAGTCTAATTCGGGGGGCTGGTTGACACAACAAGGATTGTTCTGCAGTGCGCAATACTTTCAGCATTGCTCACTAATGTAGCAGTTATCATGACTCAGGTGCTAAAAGATGGACCACAGTGGCAAAAAGCAAAAAATAAAATGAAACGAGGTATAAGGAACTTAGCATTAGTTTACAGTATATTAACTGTAATAATTGCAGTATATTACAGTATATTAACTGTAATAATTGTCACATTTAAGACAGAAATTTTCATTCTGTCAGCCTCTCATTTTGACAGGAAGAAATGAAGGTGAAAAGCTGTCAGCTAACCAAACCTTAGAAACTAGCCTTTCTCTGCTAAGTTAGCTGTTAGCTAGTACAAAGCTAAAGTAACCTTGCCACATCACATTGACATAACCATGCGATAAGCATGTCATGGCAGATGTCATGACTTTTGTCCAGTAATATAACAGTGTCATGTTACCATTACTGGATAATTTCAATGATAGATGTCATAATATTTGGAAACTGACTTCAGCCTCATCTAAAACACTGAGTCAGAAAATCCTAGGAGTATTAAAACTAAAGTTCAGATGTGTTGATAGCCAATCACCCTATCAAAAAAACACTGCATTCAGATATGAAGGGAGTGCTGCACAGCTGCCTTTGGGACCATCGGGGACCCCAGTCCGCCCTCTTGATAGCTTGGATTCGTAATCTTTCTGCATTTGGTGAAGTTTACTGCACAACAACTCCTTGTCATTGTTGATTTATGCTAAAAGAAATGCGGCTTGACCCCAATTATTAACTAAATTTGGCTAAATTGATGATTGAGTAATTAAGGGGGTAATAACTTTTTCACACAGGGCTGACTGGGGTTGAATCTTTTTTTTTCCTTCAATAAATTAAATGATCCTTTAAAAACTGTATGCTGTGTTTTACTCATGTTGGCTCTGTCGTCTATAAAGTATTGTTTGAAGATCTGAAACAATTTTGTGTGACGTGCAAAAACAGTAGAAATCAGAAGGGTCTAAAAACTTTGTCACACGTTTGTTTCCTTACCACACTCTTTCACCATCATCCACAGCGAAAAGAGCAGAAGAACAGCCGCAACTGCAAGGAAGATTTTTCCAAATAAGCTTCCGCCTGAAACACAGTGTTAAATCTGGGTCAGCGTCCTGTTTCTACTTCACCACTCAAATCATTCTAAAAACGAGAGCAGATTTTTCCCATTTAGAATCGCTTTACTTTGACTTTGAAGGACTCTGCGTTTAGACACCCGTATCCACGTCTCCAGGCTGCTGTGATAAACGGTGCAGGTGTACTTATTCCAGTTCAGCTCCTCAGGTGAGACAGTCAGAACGCTCCTCTTCTGGAAGGTTCCATCCTCGTTGAGTAGCGTCTCTCTGAGCTCCACGTCCTCATGCAGATACTCTCCATTCTTATGCCAGTAGATCATCACTGATTTGGGGAAGAAACCTGTAGCAAGACACACCACTGGAGAAGAAGAGTCCTTCTGGAAGAGGTGCACTTCAGGACGGACTGGAGAGAGAGAGAGAGAGAGAGAGAGAGAGAGAGAGAGAGAGAGAGAGAGAGAGAGAGAGAGAGAGAGCGAGATTTAATAATAATTGTAATATTCTGACAAAAAAGGCAGTGGAAGCTTTTACATTTAACTGAAATACTCAGCATGTTGGTCTAAATACTGTATATTTACACTGATTACATTGAGGCTGCATGTAAACCATTAATTCACCAGGACTACCATAGCAACTGCCTAGACATACCCTAGCAACCACCAGAGATATAATAGCAACCACAAAGCAACACCATTTCAACCACTTGGGATACCATACCAACCACCTAACAACTGCCAAGCAGCCATCAGAGATACCATTGCAACTGCTTTGCAACATCTTAGCAATCACCTGGAATGTCATAACAACCGCCAAGCAACACCCTAGCAACCACCTGGGACAGCTTATCAGCTACCTAGCAACACCCTAGCAACCATCAAGGAGACCATTGCAACGACCATGCAACACCATAGCCACACCCAGAAACACCAGAGCAACTACCTAGCAACACCCTTGCAACCATCAGAGGTACAATAGCAACTAGTTAGCAATGTTATAGAAACCACATTGGGTACCTTAGCAATCTCCCAGCAATACCTTAGCAATCACTTTGTATGCCATAGCAACCACCTAGCAACAGCTAAGCAACCACCAGATACACACGCTATCAATCACCTAAGAACAACCTAGCAATACCATGAAATTGCTAAAGCTGTGCCATCACTCTGCATTTTCTACAGGAAATGCACTTCTGTAGTTTCACTAAAGTGATCAGTGGTGTAGCGTCTGGGTGTGCAGGGTATGTGCTTGTATACGGGCCTGTGTTCAGGGGGCCTTTCTACCAAAGATGAAGCTTTCAGTATTGTTTACCTGATGGGGACAGTTTTGGTGGTCTACCAGATGTTGCAGGTGGTTTTCGAAGCCCCATTTGTCTGTAGCTTTAGTAGCTTTTACTGTTTTGACTTTCTCCTTCCTTGTATAAGTGAATTATTTTATATCTAATCTCCTCAGAAATATCTTCTAAATAATGAATAACTTGTACTTAAAGGCTATTTTGACTGGAAATTTAATAACTGAAGGGTGGCCTCTGACTTTTCCATAGTTCTGTATAGCTCTGTGCCCATAAATAAGCAATTCACAAAACATAAAAAGACATAAGGTGGTACATTATTCTGCACATATCAGGCATGATGTGCATAAATGCATAAATGCAGCATTTAAAAGTATATTGCAGCCAACTGAATTAGCCAAATAGTATAATGACCCTGTTACATACATTATTAAATTCTTATTATAACACTGAAGCAGTTCAGAGCCACATTTACAATTATTTGGTCCAGGGGGTAAAATAAATTGAAACAGGACGTCTCTAATAATCAATGAATGTGCAGCAGGTTTTCAGTGATGAGGGTGAGATCACTGTACCTTTCCTCTCCAGAGCAGATCTGCCGTAACCCACATACTTCTGTAACCACTCAGTGCAGGTGTTCTCCAGGTAGTTCTTCACCTGAGGAGCCCAGTTTACACTCTCCCACTTGTGTTTGGTAATAACAGCTTTAGCGTTGGCTGCAGTCCAGGTGAGAGTGAATTTATCCAGACTGATGAAATCTTCTCCATCATAACCGAACTGCATGTATGGACCTCTCTTGGTTCCATGATAATTCAGTTCACAGCCGTATATCCACTGCACTGTGTGAACTCCTGCAGAGACACAAACACTTCATTCATATTGATGCACAATACAGGAAAGAAACCCTGACTAACCCTGACCATCTCAAACAGGGGTCATTTCTGGATTAAAGTACAGCAGACAAGACGGAAAACAGATCAGATAACATGACGAGATGATTTGCCTTTTGAACTGAATGCAGTGCTTTGGGTAGAATGAACTTTTCAGAGAGTAACCTTTACTTCACACATTAAACCATTCAATTCACATTAACAGTGAACTAACAGTAACAGTGGAGGGCATGAAAGGTAAGAGTTGACATGTTGACACTTCAATGGATTTTACATTCACATATTTTGTTGCACAGTTAGGCCTTCCTATAAGAGGGGGAAAGGAGAAAGGTTTCAGGGTTCCTGCCACTAGGGGGCTCTCCAAGAGTCTCAGTGAAGTGTGAGTGCACCCCTGGTCAAACTTCATGTTGATTTTCTTGTTGATTTTTTAAGTGTAAATGAGTTAACACATCCTCATACTTCAGGGAAAATACAACAACAAATGTGCCGTTATTTTTTAATTATGTTTTAATTTAAAAGCTTTTTATGTTTTTTTTATTTAAACATTTATATTTTATTTTTCTTTATGCTAAATTCAGTAACTGAACCTTAATTGCGTATTAGAATGTTCATAAGTGTGTCTCTGTAGAGGATGTTTAGCTTATTTTCACCTAGAAAATCAAAATCAACCCACCCAGGGGTGTCCAAACTTCGCAAACTATCATTACTGTAAATGGGCCTGTCATTGCCAATATAAACAAAATGTATTGTAATATTCAACTCTGTGTCTAGATGAATAAATGTGCACTGCTGGCACAAAATATATTCATGCTGTGCGTTTATTTGTCAAAATACACTCATATTTAGGTAAATTGGGAAATTTGTTAACTGAAATAAAAGAAAAACTGTAAATACGACCCTCAGTTTGATGCATTATGAGAGAGCAATGTTTAAAAAATGCTTGATTCTTTTCTTCTTGAAGCTTTTCTTTTATAAATGGACCTGATTATTATTTTTTTCATGAGTTAGATGGTCATTTTGGGTTATGTTGCCTTCTTCAGTGGAAAGAAGTGTGTCATATAAAAACAGAAAATTTTAATCTAAATATGGCGAAACTACACTATTTGATCTTTAAATACCAAAACTATTTATTTCAACATCTATTTAATTTTTTCCAAAGAAACCATGTTAAAATGATGTAACTGTGTGAAGTAATGTTTTGATTTCTTGCACACTAAAGAATCACTGACAACCACAAATAACAGAAGTGTACTAGAATAAAAGAACTGTACTAAACATAAAAAGAATCAAGTCATTTTCAAATATTTAGCCTTTTCTAAATATGATCTACTGACAAGAGTAGCAAAAAATATTGTTGCTGAATTAAAGAATAGACTAGAACAGGCGTCTAACCACTAGTACTGCACACACATTAAATACTGAGAGTATATTTCCGAGATAAACAAGAACACAAAAATAATTCTAAATAATTAAAGGAACATGAAAAGCTAAACAATAACTGCAGTGTTCCCTCAGCTGCATCACTTGATACTAACTATATCCATTCCACTGTTGTACAATGTTGCTTGTAGGCAACAAACATATTCAAATAATTTCTCAAAACACAAAAATCATTTTTATGATACTGATGTTGAACATTGTGCAGTTAAGCGTTATTCATTTTCTATATACAAACTGTATGTTGAAGTGAACATTATCCTTTTTTATGTATTAGATGTGTTTAAAGCTCTGTGTGTTCATGTTCACCTTTACTGTGGTTGAAGCGCCGCATTAGATTATCCACGCTGGTTCTGAAGTTCTCCTCATGACGCTGACTAATCTGGGTCTCACTGTTCCAGTAATCTTCATCCTCTTTGTTCCTCATCCACTCTGTTTTGGGGATCATCTTCCTGATGTTACTGCCATAGTACACAGTCTGCTCTCCATCCACCTGACCCACCACAGAGAACTCTGGGAAGTTTATTCCTGGAGTTACTGCAGTGTAGAGGTACTGCAGAGAGTGACTCACTGCCAAGAGAAAAAATTTACATTTCATACAAATAAATTAAATTTAAGTTAAATTTAAATTTGATTTGGCCTTTTAGCCCTAAAGGTCAACACTGCAATATCTGTTTCTCATTACTGATATTTATCATAGTTTCACGTTGAGAATAAAAGAGTTTATAATACTTTAAGATGAACTTCAAAAAAGTGAACCAAGACAAGAAATTATGAGCCAAAATGTTAAAAATGTAAAAAGAAAAAAAAAATACAATTAATAGTAATAAGATAACACACACACACACACTCACACACACACACACACACACACACATGGCTGGAGTTTTAAATTATGCAAAACAATGAAAAATGACAAAAATGGAGATATGAGGTTTTTGAGCAATAGAGACAATGTATACAACATATTACATACATATCTTACATTATTTTTGACATTATTTTTTATAATTCCAACATACAAGCTGCCGTTTACACTGTGTCAAAACTTCATGAAGAACGAACCAACAGAGATTGAAAAGACTTATTATATCTCCTGTAGATGAACTTTTTCAAGCTTTATTTCCACAGTGACAAAACAAAGTAAAGGGAAACGTGTTTCGATATATATTATTAATATGATCAAAAAAAATATTATATAGTAATATAAAAATTGTATATATATATATATATATATATATATATATACAATTTTTATATTATACTATATAATATATATATATATATATATTTGATCATATTAAAACTACAATTTCAAAAGATATTATGTGTGTAAATTTGAAGCTGGAAGTTTATTAAACCACAAAATCAAAAATCTTTAAATACTTGCTCACCTTCATTATATGCTGTGCAAAAGGAACCAGAGCACATCATTTAAAACCACTGATCTTCTCAGCAGTGGATACTTATGTTTGTACTTATAACAACACTATATAACATTAGAATAAATACAAATAAAAATAAATACAGTCAAATTTATTAAGTGTAACAAGAATTTCTTGTTTTCAGAAAGCGGCTGATGTCTTGAGTGCTAGTTAGAACAAATCTTGGTTCATCACATATATGTGTTAAATTATCCCAGCAGCTCACCTGATTTAATGTAATGATATGTTGATTAGATAAAGCTGGTATTAGATGATAACTATAATTAATAATTAATGAATTACCAGACTTCCTCGATGAGAGGTTTGGAAATCATTAAACAAACACATTAACACACATACAGTCACTACTTACTGTATTAATATTACTCGTATTTATTCTAATATTAGTGATTTTCTCAGATGCACAACATGACATATGACATAGTAATTAAGCAGTAAAATGGTAAGAAGTAACTATGATGAACATGTTCTATTTCATATCATTTAGTTTAATACACATGTGGTATATAGTAGTATTATTACCCAAAGTACTACACAATTATATGGTATAGTAATTAATATTAAGATATAATAAACACTAGTATGATTTGTACTCTACTGTTTATATAGCTAAACTGAACTCACCTGCTGGTGCCAGATGAACACTAAGCGTAAGAAAAAGGAGAGACTTCATGATTCACTGTATGTTAGTGCAGATTATTCAGCTCAGACAGAGTTTCACAGCTCTCTGCTTCAACCAGCCGTCATTAGAGTGTGGTAGATTTACAGGAAGAGGGTCACGTCCGTCCCCCTTATTCAGACAGCAATAAATATCTAAACCCAGCTATTCAAAAGCATAAATTTATGATCCCCATGTAGAAGAAATACTACACGCTGATCTTTCCAGACTCTTCCTGTAAACTCTTGTCCAGAGACCGGCCTACAGTCTTCAGACACACTCATAATGACCCTAACGGTCCAGTCCTCAAATACACCATGTTGTAGCATCTCACTCTGAATTATTAAGATGTAGAACGAAAACTAAACCCGTCTGTTGGTCCCACGAGATCTTAAACATGTTGTTATGTCTGCAAAGTCAGCGTAAGAATTCCACTGTAATTTGGCGTCTATATCACACCAAGACATTAGCAGGACGTAGTTTTGTGAACTGATCTGAATCAGAAGAGAGATCAGAAATAATCTCCTCACTCTTCTTTATACAGTTGTGTGCAAATATTTTAGCACCCTGGTTGAAAATCATGCTTTATTGATTTTCTGATTTTTATGACTGTTATCATGTGATCACGTATTTTTCATGTGACGATACATTTTTTCACATAATCATGTGTTTTGTTTTCACAGTGTGATCATGCAGGTTTTTTCACTTGATTGTATGTTTTTTCATGTATCATAAGTTTTTTTTTTCATAATGTGATCAGACAGGTTTTCCTACAGGTGATTATACCTTTTTATGAAATGTGGTCACTTTTTTTCATTGTTTTTTCTGCATGTGATTGTTTTTATTCATATGTGATCATACGGTTTTCTCCACATGATCACCTTTTTACACATGGAATGGCTTTTTCACATAATTACAATTTTTTAATATATGATCACATATTTTTCCACATGATTACATTTTTTTCACATGACTGCAGTTTTTGGCTTTTGATTATGTTTTTCTCACAGGTGATCACACAATTTGTGAGCATGCATTTGTTCATGTGACTATTATTCAAAAGAATAATGTAACTGAGAGCTGTAGTTTACTGTTCATATTACATTGTTTACAGATCTCTTGGTAGAACATCATTAATTGTAGTTAATCTATTTTCTGCTGTATTTTTAGCTGTTTTTTCCTATTTTATGTGTAACACATAACAGACAATCTAATAACATCATAGGCTATATAGTTAATGTTATATTTTACATAACATAATATAATATAATATAATAGTATATAACAGTATATAATAGTATATATAAGTAATGATACTAAATGTACAATTAACTACAAACAAATTTCATTTTTAGTATTTTTTTCTGAAAAAAATCTTAATCTGGTCTCGGTCTTGACTCAGGCTTGACTACTAAAACTCTTGGTCTTGACTTGTACTCGATGTCGTTACAGTGGTGATAGGAACCAGGGGTCGTCATGACTACAACACAAATATAGCCATTTTATTTACTATCCAGAACCACCAGTGAACCTACACGAGTCTTCTGAGTTTATATGGAATGTTGATGATGGAAAATAGTGGAAAATCTGAAATAATAAGTTTTCAATGGGGTCTATTTTGCCTCACAACACCCTGCATGTATCCATCCAGTATTAGAGAGTACTGTAAAACAGTGTCTCAGTCATCAGGCAGTGAATTCATAACTATTTACTGTAGTAACTTTCTGTGAGGGAGCTTTTAGAGGTGGACGTCTGGTTCCTATCACCACCACTGTGAACAATTCTGACTCTGTAAGTTTCTCTAGAACAGAGAGTTTCACACCAAACCACTCTGAACGACTCTGTTTACATCTTACATATTTAATTATGTGGAATTTAAAAAAATACTGGAATTCCTCTTTTGGTACATGGCCTTGTTTGATCATGTGGGCCTCCTAATAAACTGAATACCTTCTGAAAGCTGTTAGCTACAACATTTAAATCAGAGTCAGCGTGTTAATAAATACATGTTCTTGTCTTCTAACCTGCACCACCTGCCTGATTTCAAACTGGTTTTCAGGTTTGTGAAACTCTTTATGGGGTAAAATGTTCCAGGAATGAAGCACAAAAAGATTAACTATTATAATTAACTATAGTGCCTGAAAATCTGAGAGCCAGTAGCTGTTTTATGAGTACAGTGCTGTCATGAGAATCGTCACCACTGAAAGTCCCCCAAGACAGTTTGTGGTTAAAAAATGAGCAAAGAGCTGCAGGTCTAACGTCGTTTTCTCCTCACGGCCTCATTACAATAAAAGACAAAGTCACGGCTAACTGAACGTCTAAATCATCACACGTTTCCCTCAAAGCCTCTGCAGGTGTTCAGTGTCTGCTAGTAGTAGCAGCTGATATATGGCCGTATATGGGTTTCTGATATATGACATACATTAGCATATATGGATCTCCCTTATATCCAGCTTATGTTAGTCATATTTGGACATATTGTATATGTGTCATATAAACCAACTTATTTGAAATTAGCCAAATATAAATGTTCAAATATGGAAAATTTATTTTGGTCAAATATCAACATATACAAACATACAGTATGTGTAACTGATATATTTAATAATATTTGATAGAAAACTTCAATCATATATGGACGGCCTGTATTGCTCATATATACTAGCTTGATGTTTAGAAGGTTTTTCATTTCACTTTGATTTTTTTGCTTTAAAAAGTCTTTGTATGTTTGTATCAGACGTGTCAGACGGACAGTATATATGTGATCCATATATTTCTCATGTCCTCACTGATTTTTGACCTTTATGGCCTGAACCGAAGGTCCAGCTCTTATACAGTTGACAGCTCTGACAGTTCACCACTGGATAATATACAGGGAGATTCACTCAAAAGAGGCCCTGAATATTCTGTTGTAACTCCCGTTAGGATGAAGCAATCTGAACCCGAAAAATCCGCCACATATCTTGACGTATGTGTAATCGATTACATTACATGTGATGCTGGAAGTGATCTCTGTTTTCTGCCAGACACATGAAGGGGTACGGGGGGTATGCACATGGAAGTTGCAAACGGAGGTTAAACATTGTGACGGGTGTCCGGCGCTTACCTCATCGCTCTGACACAGGAGCATCCCAGCTTGTTGGAAGCTCCATATACTGAGGAGCACAGTGCATGTAGTTTCGTTCAGATTGCTTCGTCCTAGAGAGAGTTATTACAGAATATTCGGGGCCTCTTTCGAGTGAATCTCCCTGTATCAATGTGTTCAGGTGTTCAGTTCTTCTGTGTATAGTTTGACCTTCTCCATCTGTTTTCTGGCACCCTCTATTGGCCTGTCTGTACAGTACACAGTCTCAATACTGTTACTAAAAGAACTTTGGTAGGTAACTTGGCTATTTTACTGTTCAAGACCAATTAGCCCATTTGAACCCAAAACTGAATTCACTTCTATGTTCTGTTCAAGCCTGTGGTAGATAATCTTTTTCCTGTACTTTACAGTAGAATCAGGTGTACATTCAGAAATGCAGCTTTTATTCTAAACCCAACACTGCAATACTGATTGCTGTGAAGATGTCATTAAAAATCATCTGATCTGAGTTCTTCATCTTCTCCTCTTCTCTACTTCATTTCTGTAAAGACAAATATAAAAACAACAGTGATTCACAGGTGAAAGATGTCCTGCCATGCATACAGTCTCAGCTCTAAAACTGACCTGCAGACTCATAATCCACTGGAGAGAAGATGACCTTGGTTAACACAGACTCGTCTGAAGGTTCTGGAGGAGAGAGAGGGAGGCGGGGTTAGGAACTCTGTGCTGATAACGCTACTAGAAGTGACTGAAATGAAATATAGTATTTGTATAGATGGAGCATTACAGCTGTCCAGAGCTGTGTTTGTTAGTCATGTCCTGGCTGCGTATTTTAGTTCTGCTGAAACATATGGTAAAGTTTTGGTAGTGTTATGCTTGTTTTGTTAGTGACAAAATGATAAATTCAATCATTAGTTTACATTAAATAAACATAATTAAGGTATAAGGTAAGGGGTTTAAGTCTGAAGTCAGGTAAAAGTCGATGTGTTTTCAACTCTAACTTTGAACACATTGATATAATAACGGCCAATATTAGGAGGGAATAGAAGTAAGTTGTTTAAGCCAAACTTTGACTAACTGTGGACCAGTTAACCAAAATGTGGTGTAAAAAACAAATTGAGCTATTTGTGGTAAAAAGGCTAATGTGGCTAAAATAACTGATTTTTTGGAACCTCTCATTTAACTGTTCCAACCTAAAAATGAACTTCTTTGGTACAATACACTGGGCCTGACTTAACTCCACCAAGGCCGGTCCTAAGATATGGTAATTCTGAATTAAAATTGATTGCAACAAATGTTACTGCAACTGGGGCAGCCGATGCGCCAGCACTATGGTCCCAGGACACCGATGAGAAATTAGCTATGTGCCAGAAGCCAAAAACAAAATGCATCACTCTGAAGCTGGAGCTCAAAATTGCCGAATGGAATGTTCAAACAGAAGACCATGTCAGCCAGAAAGAAATCATCAGCGACGAACTTGTCAAATGCAAGACATCAATTGTGGCATTATTAGTACGACTTACCAGATCTGGAAGAATTACCATTCAGCCTCTAGACACTGATAAAACAATGACGCTATACTATTCTGGCGGCAATAAACGAGAAGCAGGCATTGGGTTTGTGGTCGACAAGCAAGCCGCCAATAGCGTCATAGCCTTCCAACAGTTATGTGACCGTCTAGCAAGCCTCAGTCTTCACGGTACCATCGGGACCCACATTGCCACCGCATATGTGCCAACCAAAACCAGTTCAGACCCAACCAAGGATGATTTCTACAATCAACTGCAGCTTACCTTAGATCTGATCCCACAGACCGAAGTGATCATCCTGGCTGGTGACTTTAATGCCCATGTGGGAGCGGACAGAACTGGCTGGGAGACGACCATGGATAAATTTGGACTGCGCCTCCTATCCTTCACTGCCTCAAACAGTTTGATTGTCGGGAACACCTACTTCTAGGTACTTCAACTACTTCTAACACCCGACAAAACAGCAACTAACCTGGTGAAATCCATCTAGCAAGGATTCCGCTGTACTGGATTACATCCTGATCAACACCTGAGTCTGCTTGACGCTGAAGGATGTCCAGACCATGAGAGGGCCTGAATGCAGTTCAGACCACTACCTGGTTTGTGTCAAGATCCAACTCAAACTCCAACATGCCAGGTGGGCCTCAAAGGTGTTATCTGAGCAGCCCCTAACATCACTGTCTCCTTATCACTAAACTCTTCTCTTTTGCCCTGAACTTCTTTATGTCTGATTTCAGTGTTCATTTTCAGCCCTGCACCTCACCAGCGCATGGTCAGCCGTCCTCTGTGCAGCCTGCCCTCAAACTGCAGCCGCACATATGTCTGACCTCTGTGTGTCTCCATAGAGACAGTTGTGTGCAGCTTCCTTTTCCTTACCGGACTCCTTCATCATCTTCCACAGTGAAAAGAGGAGGAGAACAGCCAGGACTGCACTGATGACGACACCAAACAAGCCTCCATGTGAGCCTCTGTCTGAAACACCAGTGAGGTAGATCTGTCAGTCTCCTTCAGCTGCTTCACCAACCAAACGAGTCTGAGAGTACAGAGGGGTTTACCGCCACCTTGGAATCAGATTCTCCTACCTGACAGGATTCTGCGATCAGACGCCTGCAGCATCATCTCCTTCTCCATTCCAGGATGTTGAATGATACAGCTGTATTCATTCTTTTTCAGCTCCTCAGGTGAGACAGTCAGAACGCTCCCCTTCTGGAAGGTTCCATCCTGGTTGGGTAGCGTCTCTCTGAGCTCCACGTCCTCATGCAGATCCTCTCCATTCTTCTGCCAGGAGATCATCACTGCTTTGGGGAAGAAACCTGTAGCATGACACACCACTGGAGAAGAAGAGTCCCACTGGAACAGAGACGCCTCAGGAGAGACTGGAGAGAGAGAGAGAGAGAGAGAGAGAGCGAGAGAGAGAGAGAGAGACAGAGACAGAGAGACAGAGACAGAGAGACAGAGACAGAGAAAGAGAGAGAAATTCCATGTTGATTACTGTTTATTTACTGAATTTAACACACTGAGAAAAAAGAACAGGTAACGCTTTAAATGTGTGTTTTCTATAGAGGATGTGTTAACCTATTAATACTGATGTGCAGCATGTGGACTCACTAAAGACCCTCTGATATGGGACTTGGGGGCCAATGCAGAAATCTAATGTTTTTCATGGACAAATCAGCTATATGGATACATGAACATTTATGAAACATATAGACTGGGATTACATCTACCTGGATTAGCATCAGAGAGAGCTATAATGTTTATTTCTCTAGAGTTACAGTATATATAGAATAGTGCAGCAACCCAGCATCACCTAAACATTCTGCACTTTGGAGTTCAGCTGTGTGTCCAACCTGAATTTTAATAAAGTATTGCCCTTTGGCCAAACTGCAACCCAACGGACACTAAACTATAAAATCCTCAATGTTATTAAACATTTATGAACCTTTAGTTTAACATACAGCACTGCTTTCTGAATAATTCATAGTAGATACTGAACAATTCATAGTAGATACTGAATAATTCATAGTAGATACTGAATAATTCATAGTAGACACTGAGTAATTCATAGCAGATACTGAATAATTCATAGTAGATACTGAATAATTCGTAGTAGTTACTGAATAATTCATGGTAAATACTGAATAATTCAAAGCAGTTACTGAATAATTCATAGTAGACACTGAATAATTCATAGTAGACACTGAATAATTCATAGTAGATACTGAATAATTCATAGTAGATACTCAATAATTCATAGTAGACACTGAATAATTCATAGTAGATGCTGAATAATTTGTAGTAGTTACTGAATAATTCATGGTAAATACTGAATAATTCAAAGCAGTTACTGAATAATTCATAGTAGATACTGAATAATTCATTATTAAATACTCAATGATTCATAGTAAACGGTGAATAATTCATGGTACATGCTGAACAATCCATTATAGATACTGAATAGTACAACATTACAGAAGTCACAACATTAATAACTCAAAAATAACACTTGTACATATTATACAGTGGCTGATTAAGATCCATATGACCAGTGGATTCACTAAAATAATAACATAACATGATGATGTATTATTACCCTCTACAGAAATCAGAGGGTCTGCTGTATTACGCTGAGGGAAAGTAAAGAGCTAAGTCAGTGAGATGTTTGTCCTCCACATTCTGGTGAGTAATCAGTGAGTAAATGGTCAGCAGGTTTTCAGTGATGAGGGTGAAACAGTGAGAGTGAACAGTTACAGTAACAGATCAGATCACTGTACCTTTCCTCTCCAGACTGGATCTGCCATAACCCACATACTTCTCTAACCAATCAATACATTCATTCACCAGGTAGTTCTTCATCCTTGCACCTTCATTTGCAGCATCCCACCTGATTTTGCTAATTAGAGCTTTAGGATTAGGTGCAACATAGGTGGCAGTGTTCAGATCCAGACTGAGGAAGTCTTCTCCATCATAACCGAACTGCATGTATCCACTCTTGGTACCATCATCATGCAGCTCACAGCCGTACATCCACTGCACTGTGTGAACTCCTGTACAGACACACAGGAATGTAATGCTGGAGCATAATAAAACAAATTAACGCACAGGATCTACTGAAACAGTGAACCTCATTCATCTGCATTATAAACTGATGCAAAATAATATGAACAGATGGAGTTTTCTGCTAATTCCTTGCCTCAAGGCACATTCAGTGTCAGTCACTGCAATCACTATAGTGCTGTGAAAGTACCTCCCATGAAAATCTGTGTATTTTGTCTGTTGATCTGATCGTCTGATTTCTGAATGCTGTTGTTGTGTTTATTTAGTATGTAAATGCACATAAACAAACTACCATTATTTAAAACACATAAATAGGAATATACTTGATGCTTAAGTGGCCTTTTATAGTTCGTCTGGTTAAAGCAATCAATAAAAAGCACTTTATGATCAAAATTGTTATAAATGTATGCACGCAGTGAATCTAAGGATAATAACACAATATTAGCCACATCTTGCTGGAAATTCATGGCTCCATCTATAATGACAGTGTGAAGAGGCCCAGAGGTGAGAAATACGCCCAAACCACAACACTTCCTCCACCATGCTTCACAGCAGGCTAGAAGTTCTTTTGGTCAAAGGGCAGTTTTGGTTTTTAGCAAACAGCTCGACCTTTGTCTTCTTTCTTCAGAGCACACATCGCACCAATAGTCCTTATCTTCAGGGGTTTTGTCTGACACCACTGTCATGCATCTACATCCTTTTTTGAGAGCAGAGGCCTCCTTCATTCTCCCCCAGGGGCTGTAATACAGAAACATCCTAACTCTGAAATCTTACCTGTTTAGTCAGTATGACCTGAAGGTAATAACCTCAATGGTGTCCTAACTTCAGTTTTAGTCTTCTGTTTCTATCATTTTTAGACAGCTGTGACAGGTAGCATAACATGTTCACTCTAACTAGCATGAAGATGTTACATTTTTCATATTGCAAAACTGTGTTTTCATTTGTGAGATGTCTTTTTTATCTCTGAGGCTCAAAAATCCCCATTGACATGATCTCCACCATCCCCCCTCATTACCTTCATGTGTTAATGTCCATCAAGAGTTCTATACAAATATTGCAGTGATGGTGGTAAATAATAAGGCATCTGAATTGAATGTGTTGCTGTTTAAAATGTTAGTGCAATTCCAACTGAAACAGCAGGGGGCGCTCACCATGACCATGACCGGCCACGATCAAGTAGTTTATTTCCTAACTGGAGATAAGATTTTGTAAGGTAAGATCTGCTTTCTAAATTAAAACAGGATTTGCTTTTGAAATATGAAATTTTGAAAAAATAAAGATCTGAAATTAGGATCAAAGATTAGAAGTCTCTGTAACATGTTCTTAAAAATGTGACTGTATAATGTGACTATTGTGTTTATTTTTTATGAAAACATTTATTGTTATTAGGCTCCAGCACCCCACTGCGACCCGGAAGGATAAGCGGTTTAGATGATGCATGTATGTATGTATGATTTACTGTTATTACCTTCAGTCTGGTTGAAGCGCTGCATTGCTGTAGCCACATTAGCTTTGAAGGTCCCCTGATGACTCTGACTAATCTGGGTCTCTTTGTTCCAGTAATCTGGATCATCAGCCTCAACCTTCTTTATCCAGCCTGTTTTGGGGATCATCTTCCTGATGTTACTGTCATAGTACACAACCTGCTCTCCATCCACCTGACCCACCACAGAGAACTCTGGCAAGTTTATTCCTGGAGTCACTGCAGTGTGGTGGTACTGCAGAGAGTGAGTAGCTGTCAAGATAAAAATTAACAAAGTGACTGAAATTTTTCTAAGGAAAAAAAAAATTGAGACAATCAGAATATTCATGAAATAAAACTGTAATGTTAAAAGTATCCAGATTCACATTAAAGGTTTATATTGATCATTCATGTCATGATTGTCAAAGAAGAATTCTTATTCTAAAACCTGTTACTTCAGACTGTCACTATTTTCCATCATCATCATTCCATATAAACTCAGAAGACTCGTGTAGGTTCACTGGTGGTTCTGGATAGTAGATAAAATGCCTATATTTGTGTTGTAGTCATGGCGATGCCTGGTTCCTGTCACCACCACTGTAAAGACATCTGAGTCTCTACAATCAACCACTTCACACAAAACAACTCTGAATGACTTTGTTCACATCTCAACTATGAAACTTGCAGACATTTTGGTGGATTTCCCCTTTGTAAATATAAATGTGCTCTGTAAATGTTTGAATATCATCTGAAAGAGGCGATGCAATCATGCTTGGGTATAAAAGGAGCATCCAGGAAAGGTTCTTTATAAGTGAGGATGTTCAAGACTACCAAAAAAGGCATCAGCGAATAACACAACTGTTAAAAATACTGTTCCTCACTGAGCAGTTGACCAAGATTTTAGTCATTTCATCGTCTACAGTGCGTAATATCACCATAAGATATGGAATCCACAAAAATCTCTGTGCATGAAGGAAAAGGCCAAAAACCGCAACTGAATGCTTGTGACCTTTGACCCACTGCATTAAAAACCAGCATGCTTGATGGATATCACCACATTTAGTCAATAAAAAACCCATCACTGCTTCCACAAAACTTAAGACTGTACTGTGCACAGAGGAAGTAATACAGCAACAATTTCCAGAAATGTCGCCAAATTCTCTGGGCTTGAGCTCCTCTGAAATGGACTGATGCACAGTGGAAACATGTCTTGTGGTCTGACGAGTCAGCCTTTCAGATTATAGAAATAATCGACATTGAGTTCTGTGAGCTAAAAAAGAAAGATTTGGAAAATGTGTAACTGCAAGCAGTGGGGGTTGAGCTTTGGCCCCCTTCCCCGAGGGGATGAATCTGAGTATTGAAAGAGAATTTAAAGAGAACTCAGTCTAAACTCTGTGAAGGAGCGTCTTCTGAGGATGTGAGTGAAATGTCTACTGTTGTCATCATATCTTCATCGGTATAATGTTGATTTTGAGATTTGAGGCCTAAACATCGAGCTGGACCTTCTTTTTGAGGCTGTGTGTGTGAGGGTACTATGTAAAACCAAACAACATGGTGTGAAAAACTTGACACCTCTGACTTTTAAATGATTATTTCAGGCTTTACAGGGCGACTCGCAGCAGCGCACACTCACCACATTTTAGCCTGTTTATATTCTCCTCGCTCAGTAATGATACTTCTTTCAGTTTTCATAAAAAACTTCCAAAATCTTACATAGTGCAGCTTTAAAGGAATAGTTCTTGTACATTTAGTTGCAAGTTAAGGGCTGTTTGTTCAAATGAAGTGGCAACATTAAAGCGATTTGTGGTCCGCTTTAAGCATTAGCAGTAAACAGGAAGTTAAGGGCTACACCACTGAAAATGGAGTGGCTGCAAACTGCTAAAAAATAAGACAATTCTAGCACAAAAATATATATTTACTCTATTAAATATAACAATAAGCCAGACACAAACTGAGCAAACATTTCAGACTCCTGCTATCACCAGTGCTGGCCTCTGAAACATCCTTTAACCTGTAAGCCTTTAGGTTTACGTATACAGCATGTTGTAATTAATATTAACTCACCTGCTGATGTCAGATTAATAGTAAGTGCAAGAAAAAGGAGAGATTTCATGATTCAGTTCCTGCGCTGTGAATCGTCACACAAAGAAAGAGATAGCAGAACTGTCCAGCTCTTCACCCCACAAATAGCACAAGGTGAGATCTTCAGCCGCGCAATGAGAAACACTTCCTTTTACCCACGAGCATAACTTTGTTTACGCAACGCTGGGGACAGGACCAAGTGAAAGAATCGATAGCACTTTACTTTGTATTTTGGCAGTAAGTGGGTAATAATAGTCTAATATTGTGTTAACAAGTCATAATTACCTAAAAATATCGTTGCTAATAAATAATAAGTTAAAAGTTCATAGTATTATTGCAGTTATAATTTCAATGCAGTTTAACCACACTGTTCTGAGGAACTGATGTGATCACCTAATGTGAGATGCAGTAATGGAAAGAATGGTTTCAGAGCATTTAGTTTCACTATAATTACAGGCGGTCACTGAATGTGTACATCACCCTGTGCCTGACCATTTATAAACATAACCGATAAGAAACACTGTAGAAACAAGTGAATTAGTATTTTATAGCACTATTAACACATCATTTCATACTTCATTATTTTTGGGATAATAACTAATATAATCCAAACCTACAATGATTTAAAAAATATGTATATGTTGATTAAGCAGCTGTTATCCTGTAAGAGCTTGATGCTATATATTGTAGCTTGTGTAGTAGACGACCCTTTTTTCTTGTTGTGTGGTATGTTATTAATCAGGATGGGAGCAGGCATAAACTGGGCCAGCTGGGGGTCCTAGGAGCAGGCATATATACAGACACTTAGGGGTCCTGGGAGCAGTTTCGTCAGAGAACTTGTAGAGAGAAGAATTACCAGAGCCGGTTTATGAGGAGCCTGACCTCTTCCTATTCCTCCCATTATATCAAAAACAGGACTACAAAACAGCAGAGGGCGCCCGTGAGCGAGTCCTCAATTAATGGGAGTAAATGGCTCAACGGCTAAAAACAAAAAGTTAAAATAGTTTCTAATCACTGAACCAGAACCTTCCTTTAATTTTAGAAAGCTGAAGGATGTGTTTCACTAAAAATCAAAGAAAACTCACCTTTAGCTTTTACAGCAAATGGGTTTTGGGCAGCAGGACACTATTGCTACTGAGTGCTGATTGGTTGGCGAGCGGAGCAGCTCATTGGCTGTTCATGCTTAGCAAAATAAGTAGATTACATAAGAAACATTTATTTTTCAAATCAGTTTGGTAATTTGTAAACCCAAAGAAACATTTTCAAAAATTAGAGTAAAGTAAAATTATAATTCACTGTAAATAAAATCCAAGATAAAGCTACAAATATTCTTCCATAGTAGTCGAGTTTGATCACAAAGCCAAAATAGATGAAAAAGAGTTTCTGGGTATAGGCCACAAAAGGTACATCTTATATGCAAGGATACCTTAAATCTTGACACTAAAAGGAATTTTACTAGATAAATTTGGTAAATATGCCTGTAAGAAACCTCCTTGATTTTATTTATCAATAAATACTGATTTTATTTATCAATAAATACTTCTTCCAACAGATTGCAATTACGTGTGGAACCGAAACATTGTCATTCTGGAATAAAGCATGAATCTTCCAATTGGTTTTTGTTTCTGTTGGTCAGAACAGGCTTCGAGACAGGACAAGGAAACACCATCTGGACCCGGTGCTTTCCTGGCCTTCTGTCTCTGGAAGAGCCCTCACATATACATCACTTCACAGGTTTGTTTTTGTTTAAACCAGTAAGACACGTTTATATTAAAAACTTTGGATTCATTCTGTGTTTTGATTTCTGAAGGTAATACCTGCCATAACCAAACACCTTTAACTGTAAAAGCTGACTGACCAAAGGCTGCTCTGTGCACCGGCATTCTACAGTTGCCAATTACTGCACCCCTCATTGTCGCTCCATTGTCTGCCCGCTTTGTAATAAACAGGCAAAATATTTCTGGGGCAAGATTGTTTATGTGCTTAAAAATAAGCGTTAAACATGTAAAATTTAATTTCACAGTGATGCCCCCTCATTGGTTTCTGATCTATTACTTTCAAAGCCTGCTTATGTAAGGAGATTGTAGGTTTAACTGCTGACTGAAAAGCTTAAGACATATATGATAAAATCATGGCGTGCACAAACATCTGTGCAGCCTTGAGAGGAGTGCAAGGTCTAGTGAATTGAAAACAGTTTAGTTTTAATAGTCTTGGTCAGTTTCTTTATGTGGGCATCATATTATAATTGGTCATCCAGTGTAACTCCTAAATATTTAAGCTCATTAACTTCCTCGATTTCCTCTTGATCAACATATAAAAAAATCCTTTGTGTCCTTTTTGTCTGATTGTGAAGCAAGTCAAATCTGTTTGGTATGATTTAAAGAAGTTCAGCTCCTTAAGTTTATTTATACGTATTTTCTGATTCACTTTTTAAGATCTAAAAGTACACTTGTAAATACTTGTATCTAATGAGCTTTTAATAATTTTAATAAAAAAGCATGTAACCTTTCCAAATGGCTTTTGATGCAGGATTTGATTATATTGAAGATACTGCATCAGTAGTTCAACATATAAACTTTCAAGTTCTACTGGAAGAATTGATGTTGATCTGTAGTTACAAGTTTGATCAGATGCCCCAGCCTTAAAACTTGTGGTCAGTATTGATCAATAATCTTGCAAATTTTACTTAAATCCACCTGTGTAATGTAAAACAATGCTGATGAATACTTCACTGAATCTTGTGGTGGTGCTACGGGTTGAACATTTGCTGCAAGTTCTTCTGATTGAATGAAAACAATGTTAAATTCATTAGTAGTTTCTACAGTGTCAGTTTCATTTATATATATTGCTGGTATTGATTTCTGCTTATAAAGCCAATTTATATGCTTCCACAGTTCCTCACTGAACTGTGATCTGATTTGAGGTCCAGGCAGACAAAGACTTAAGAAACAGAAATACTTCATCCTTTACTATAAACCCAATGCAGTATCTCTACCTTGAATGATCAGAGTGGAAGAACTGATTCATGACTTTATTTACAGACTTTATTTAAAGAATTTATGTTGAAATAACAGAATTTCACATTTTAATATGACTTTTTTATGAAGAAATATTACTTTTTTTAGAAATGTGAGACTGACCACAAAAGTGCAAATAAAAAATACTGATATTAAAAGAAACGCTTGAATTTGCTGAAATGCTGAATCTTCTTCATCTTCATTGTCCTCCTCTGTACGTCCTCTCTGTAAAGACAAATGTAATAACAATAATGGAATTATGAAATTCTTGCTGCCACCAATCAATGTGTAATGAAAATATACAACAAGTGATCTTATATATAAACAAACAATGCACAGACAAAGTGTAAATGTTACAGTCAAGTCTGTATTTGCAGTACTTCGTGGGTTAAATCAGTGACCCTCCCCTCAAGTGGTTTCATAGAGTGGGCAGAGATTGGCCTGTTTAATCCTGCACAGCAGTCTAATTCGGGGGGCTGGTTGACACAACAAGGATTGTTCTGCAGTGCGCAATACTTTCAGCATTGCTCACTAATGTAGCAGTTATCATGACTCAGGTGCTAAAAGATGGACCACAGTGGCAAAAAGCAAAAAATAAAATGAAACGAGGTATAAGGAACTTAGCATTAGTTTACAGTATATTAACTGTAATAATTGCAGTATATTACAGTATATTAACTGTAATAATTGTCACATTTAAGGCAGAAGTTTTCATTCTGTCAGCCTCTCATTTTGACAGGAGGAAATGAAGGTGAAAAGCTGTCAGCTAACCAAACCTTAGAAACTAGCCTTTCTCTGCTAGGTTAGCTGTTAGCTAGTACAAAGCTAAAGTAACCTTGCCACATAATGTTGACATAACCATGCGATAAGCATGTCATGGCAGATGTCATGACTTTTGTCCAGTAATATAACAGTGTCGTGTTACCATTACTGGATAATTTCAATGATAGATGTCATAATATTTGGAAACTGACTTCAGCCTCATCTAAAACACGGAGTCAGAGAATCCTAGGAGTATTAAAACTAAAGTTCAGATGTGTTGATAGCCAATCACCCTGTCAAAAAACACTGCATTCGGATATGAAGGGAGTGCTGCACAGACTATGCTGCCTTTGGCACCATTGGGGACCCCAGTCCGCCCTTTTGATAGCGTGGATCCGTAATCTTTCTGCATTTGGTGAAGTTTACTGCACCACAACTCCTTGTCGTTGTTGATTTATGCTGAAAGAAATGCGGCTTGACCCCAATTATTAACTAAATTTGGCTAAATTAATGATTGAGTAATTAAGGGGGTAATAACTTTTTCACACAGGGCTGACTGGGGTTGAATCTTTTTTTTTCCTTCAATAAATTAAATGATCCTTTAAAAACTGTATGCTGTGTTTTACTCATGTTGGCTCTGTCGTCTATAAAGTATTGTTTGAAGATCTGAAACTATTTTGTGTGACGTGCAAAAACAGTAGAAATCAGAAGGGTCTAAAAACTTTGTCACACGTTTGTTTCCTTACCACACTCTTTCACCATCATCCACAGCAAAAAGAGCAGAAGAACAGCCGCAACTGCAAGGAAGATTTTTCCAAATAAGCTTCCGCCTGAAACACAGTGTTAAATCTGGGTCAGCGTCCTGTTTCTACTTCACCAATCAAATCATTCTAAAAACGAGAGCAGATTTTTCCCATTTAGAATCGCTTTACTTTGACTTTGAAGGACTCTGCGTTTAGACACCCGTATCCACGTCTCCAGGCTGCTGTGATAAACAGTGCAGGTGTACTTATTCCAGTCCACCTCCTCAGGTGAGACAGTCAGAACGCTCCTCTTCTGGAAGGTTCCATCCTGGTTGGGTAGTGTCTCTCTGAGCTCCACGTCCTCATGCAGATCCTCTCCATTCTTCTGCCAGGAGATCATCACTGCTTTGGGGAAGAAACCTGTAGCAAGACACACCACTGGAGAGTAAAAGTCCTTCTGGAAGAGGTGCACTTCAGGACGGACTGGAGAGAGAGAGAGAGAGAGAGAG